CCATTTCCTATAGGTTTATTCTTTTGGAAACTTCCGCTGCCGGCTTGCCTGGGAACTACTTGTAGCTTTTTGTTACTAGAAAGCGTACTTTTGGCATGAGCTTTGGTGAGATCGACACTGCTTTGCGCCATCCACGCCTCTTTCAACGTCTCCTTCCCATCCACCAGCAGCACTGCCCGCCGGCAGCGTGAAGCCCACATAAATACAGGTGGTTCCTTTGAAGCAAAGCTCTGTGGTGTAACCTTGAAGCTGCTTGAATACTGTACAAAGAACGGTCTCCAAACTCAAATTCTTATTTTTTGAAGAACTCCAGACCTTTCTTGTTTAAATGAAGCTTTCATTTTGAGCACCTTGTGTAGAGGTTTGAGGTTTGTCTGCACGCTTGTTCCATCTTGAAATGGCCTTAGAAGCATCAACTATTCCAACGAGTATCTTTCATCAAGCAGAATTTAATCTAACATGAATGGCCTCCAACCTAATAGCGATGGCCTCCAACCTAGTAGGTTGGGGTTTCTCAGCATTCAATTCGCAAAATCAAGCCTTCACATCTACTCTCTCAGCTGATGTTGGGGGGGTTGGAAACCTCTGGGAAGCCCAGGAATTTCTCTTGTGTTTTGCGTGTTGTGGCTGTTTTCTCTTGTACTTGTTGGCTGAGTTCTGACAGTGCGCAGTCAGCAAGCTAGACTTGTCGAAGTCTTTATGAGCCAAACAAGAAGCGGAGTGCTGCTTGCAGCCGAATGCCACCCAGCACGTTCATGACAAGCTTCAGCTTGCTTCACATAGTTCTACATCAAACAAACAACTCTGAAACGCATTGATTTGCCACAAAGTTGCAAGGACTTGCCGGAAAGCGCCAACCGTTTGAAGCTTTTGCTATGCCTGGTGCAGCAAACGCAGCGCTTTTCCTTCGAAAACCGCAGCGCTTTGGTTCTGTCCGTGCGAGGCCTGGTCCAAACGGAAGGGAGAGGGTGCAGGGAAGATTGTCGGCCCCTACCGCCTTCCTTTGGATGCATAGAACTAGCAAAGCCAGGAAGAGTAAGGGAGCAAAGGAGGCCGTGAATCACGGCGACGTACAAATCTACATTCCACAGAGTAAGGGAGTAAGTGGGACTTTTCTGTATCGACCAAGTTGATACGGTCCTGTGATTATCTACTTCCAGTCAAACACTACAATGATTGGACAACAAATGATGACATCAACCTGGGTACCTTTCGCAAGAAAGTCCTCTTTGAGGCTCCTTCTCTGGAAATTCGCTGTAGTTGCTTGTTCCAACCCACGGGAATTTACCCATTTTGCCGACCTCAATTGTCCAGGTTGGATGCCACTATCACAGTTCATCTCACAAAACAGAAACAAAACGCAAAACAACTCAAAACTTTAGATGTTTTTAAAGGAACGACTTTTTGGACACTAAAGTATCTCACCCCACATTCACCCCACCTTAGCCTTCATGTCGAGAAGAAATACACTTGCTTTCTGCAAACAAAGGTAGATCATTCATTGGTTTTCATTTCCCACTTAGACAACGCACAAGTAGGTGACCACTGTACCGTCATGAAAGCAGGTAACAACTAGCAACTGCTTCATCAACGTCAAAAATGATCTAAGTAGGCTTGCTTGCTCGTCATCCTTGCAAACCACTTTTTCAAAGAGATACGATCTTATTTCTTGTTTTCTTTGTTTTTGGACCTTGGGACTTTCTTTTTTGCAATCTTTTCTTTGCTGTTTCTTTTTTCAATTTTCCTCTTTACCTCCATCTGCCTACCCAGTTCCCCCCTCGCAAGACTGGACCTCACTTTCCAGCGTTGGAGTTGGGGCCGCGCTTGGGGTCACTCTTCACCACCTCATGTTGAGTGCTTCCGCGCCAACTGATCCCCCCCGAACGTAAAGGCTACGCGGGTTTACGCAAAGGGGTTTTAAGGGTCACAATTTCTACTTCCCTGTCCGTCGGAGCAATTCCCTTGGCTAGGAGTCTTCACTTCATTGATAGCAGAACTTTGAAGTTCCCCTGGGAGTTTCCGGCTTTTCACTCAATGATCCATGTTGAGGTGGGCTATAGAAACGGGGCCAAGGTGCTATTCTTAACAAAATTCACCAGTCTTGCAGGACTTGTGATGCGTCCTCCGTAAATCATCATGAGTCCACGGGGCTGCTAATGGGGCTCATCGTCATATAACCTGGATCACATCACTTAACTGGTCAAAACACATAAGAGGGATAAAACCCGATCCGCGGTGTGAATACTCCGCACTCTGGGGGTAGCTGCAGACCAAACGGTTAATGTGCGAAACATCCACCCGAGCTGGACCCTTCATTTAGATCCCCTCAGATCCTTCGTTAGATGGCCTCCAACTTACTAGCGATAGCAATGGCCTCCAACCTAATAGCAGTGGCCTCCAACCTAATACCAGTAGCCCCTAGCCTACTAGCAATGGCCCCCAACTTGTCAGCGATGGCCTCCAACCTAATAGCAATGGCCTCCTAGCAATGGCCTCCAACCCAATCGCAATGGCCTCCAACCCATCAGCAATGGCCTCCAACCAAATAGCACTGGCCTCCAACCTACTAGCGATGGCCTCCAACCTACTAGCGATGGCC